TATATATATATAAATTTTATTTTTTTTTTTTTTAATTATGGGCCACAGGCTAGGGATTTAGCTTAGTGGTTCCATTGCCTGCCTTGCAAGTGTAAGGACCTGAGTTCGATCCCTCGTAGAAAAAGAAAAAAACCAAAAAAAACAAAAAATTATGGGACACTTTTCTCCTTCTAATTGGTTACTATTTCCAAGCCCAAGTGCTTTTATTTTTCCCTGTTGCCTTTTATTTTACATTTTATTTATATGTCTGTGTTTGTGTAGGAAAGACGGCCATGATCATTTGTCCCTTGATGTAGAGTTGCAAACAAAAACAAAATTTTGCCAAATGCTTCTGTTTGTGAAGCAAATTGTTTGCAAAGGTGTTCATGAACCAAAGCACCACTGTATATTGGATTTCTCACAGAAGAGAAACCATGCAGTATTTAAGCAGAGATATCTGATTTATTTCACTTAAATGATGGTTTCAAGGTGCACTCATTTTCCTACAAATGACTCAAGTTTATCCTTTATGACAGACTAGTACTCCATCATGTGTAAATATCACGTTTTCTTTATCAACTCATGGTTGACAGACATATAGGCTGCTTCCAAGATTTAGCTATTATAAATTGTGCTGCTTTAAAAATGCATATGCATGGTCACTCTAATATGATGTCTTTAACTCTTTTGGGAAGATACTTAGAAGGGGAACAGCTGGGTCAGATGGGATTTCTATTTTTAGTTTTTTGAGGAATCTCCATACTGTTTTAATTTCTATAGTGGTTATATCAGTTTATACTTCCAACAATAATGAAGAAGTGTCCTGTATGCTGCCTCCCAGCATCTCGTCTTTATTATTTTCTTTCTTTTTTTTTTTTTTTGGTACCGGGGATCCAACTCGGGTCCTTGTGTTTGCAAGGCAGGCGTTGGCACCACTGAGCTAAATCCCTGGCCTTTATTATTGATTTCTTGATGATAGCCATTCTCTCTGGAGTGAGATAGACTCTTAGGATTGTTTTAATTTGCAATCTCAAATGGCCAGTGACACTGAACACTCCTTCATGTATTTATTGACCATTTGTACTTCCTCATCTGAGAAGTATCTATTCATTTCAGATGCTCATTTTTAAATTGGGTCTTTAAATCTGGAGGGGGGTCTAATTTTTCTGAGTTCTTTATATATTCTAGATAGCAATACTTTAAGGAGTAGCTGGCAATTTTTTTTTCCCATTCTGCAGGTTGTCTCTTCACTCTTAGTTGTTTCCTTTGCTGTGCAGAAGCTTTTTAATTTGATATGATCCCATTTGTTGATTCTTATTTCTTGTACAACCAGGTATTATTTCTTCTATTCACAACGTCTTTGCTTTTGTGTATATCTTCAAGAGTTTTACCAATTTTGTCTTCTAGATGATTGAGTCTATTTTAATATTTAGATCTTTGATCCATTTTTATTTTCGTTTAGTACATGGTGAGAAATATGGGTCTAAGTTATCCCACCACTGATTATTAAAATTTATCTGTCCTCCAGTGAAAGCATTATGGCCCCTTTGTCAAAAATCAATTAGCTGTAGGCCTGGGATTTAGCTCAATGGTTCCAACACCTGCCTCGAAAGCACCAGGTCCCATATTCGATCCCTGGTACAAAAAAAAAAAAAAAAAAAAAATCAACTAGCTGTAGTTGTTTCTACATCCCCTATTCTGTTCCACTGATGCACAAGTCTAGTGTGTTTGCTTGTATTGAAGGCTGGGTGAGGTGGCGCATGCCTGTAAGCCCCGCACTTGGGAGGCTGAGGCAGGAGGATTGCTGTGAGTTCGCGACCAGCCTGGACTACATAGTGAGTTCCAGGTCAGTCTCAACTACATAGTGAGACCCTGTCTCAAAAAACAGAACACAACAAAACAAAAAAAGAACTAAACTGAACAGGAGTAGAGATAGGGGACATCCATATCTTGTTCCTGATTTTATAGGGAAAGCTTTCAGATTCTATCTATTTAATATGATGTTGGCCATTGGTTTGCCACAATGGCTTTTATCAGATTGAGATAAAGACCTTCTATCCCATTTTTTTCAAGAGGTTTTCTTTTTTTATCATGAATGCATGTCAGATGCTTTTTCTGCATCTACTGAGATGATCATGTAATTTTTTGATCTTGCTTCTGTTTGTGTGGTGTTTTACATTTACTGATTTGCGTATGTTGAACCCTCCTGTATCCCTGGAATGAATCCTACTTGATCATTAATCCTACTTGGATCTTTCTGATGATTTGCTGCATTCTGTTAGCCTGTATCTTATTGTGGATTTTAGCATCTATATTCATTAAAAAGACTGGTTCTCTTTCTTGGTAGGGTACTTTATTATTAAAAGCATCAGGAATAATTTTCTTCCAGGAATGACTTTGGGAGTACTGCTTCCCTTTTGATTTCATTAAAGAGTTTGAGGAGTACTGGTATTAGATCTTCTCTAAGAAATTCAGCAGTGAATCCATCAGGTCCTGGGCTTTTCTTATCCAAGTGAAAGTTTAAGAGAAAAATCAGCCACTGTTATTCAGACTGTTCTATAGTATATTCACACATTGACTTACCAACTGCAGCTTTATGATACTGTTTTTTTTCCATCTAGGAAACTAGTATGTTTCTTCATTTATTAGAGTCTTGGTTGTTTCTTCCAAATTGATTTTGTGATCCTATAGGTTCTATATCTTTCTTTTTAAATGTATTAATATTTGACAATTATTTTCATTATGAGGCTTTTTTCATATTTCAAAAAAATATTGCTAAAGAAAAGCCATTTATCTTGCACCTTGTCTTCACTCTATGTATGAAACTAAAAACTCTTATTCCCATAGTATAAAATATTACTACTGACAAATAAAGATGATTGTAGATCGCTCTCTAGTATTTATCCTGCTTTGTTTCCCCATATCTCTGCATTAGTTGTGACCACCAACACATTGTGGAATAACAGGCAAAAGAAACCTTCCTTTTCAACTGCGTTAGGTATGTGACTATTTAGTGTAATGGTTGCCAGAGATTTTTGGCAAATGGGCTTTAAGGTGTTTTAACAGCTTTCTTCAATTCCAATTTTACTCAAGTTTGTTTTTGCTTTTTATAAAAAAAAAATCAGCAGATGTTCAGTCAGTGCTCAGCAGAGAAACAGATTTAATATAAGATAAAGGAATATATTAGGATTTACAAAGTAGGCTTACAGTGGCTGCCTGCAGAGTCAGGTATGGGAGAGTGCAAAAAGGCTGTCCATACACTGGAGATTCAAAGGACCCAGTCAAAGGTCAAAGGAGTCCCCTGAGTCAATATCCAGAGGCTGAAGGGTCTGCATTAAAACCAGGAGACGTATGCTCAAGGCAAAGGCGAAGACTGGAGCTCCTCAGAAGGAACTTCTCCTTTGTTCCCATTCCTATTCTACTCAGGCCAAAAGCCTGTTAGTTGGCGCCACTTGTACCCAGGATGGGTCTTCTTTGTCTTTCTCTTGTCTAATCACTCTGTCTAATGAGAAGTGCAGAGATATCTCCTGTCTTCAGTAAATCCATTCAGCCACACTCAGAAATACACTAACCCAATCAGTTGGGCATTTCTTACTCGAGTTGACACAACAGTTAATTATCACAGCATATAAATAGGCTCAAATTCTCTTTTAAATTTATTATAAAATATATACTAATATGGGCAATATAAAGCATGGATACATGCTTTTAAATTTTTTAACTTTTAAAGAAGACAGCCTTCTCAATTCTGCTAGGTATCTAATTATTTAGTTCAATGGTAATTTTGTTCGTTTGTTTGTTGAGATAGATCTCACTATATAACTTAGTTATATAGTGAATTCACTATGTCCAACTGACCTAAAACTTACGGCAATCCTCCTGCCTCAGCCTCCAGAGTGCTGGGATTACAGGCAAGTACCACCAAGCCCATGTGATACATATTTTTAAATTGGAGAACTACAGAGAAAAAAAAAATCAATGTAGCCACTGTGTAGGTTAAATGAAATGCCCAGGTGACTCAGAAGCCCTTGGCTCTCTCTAATCTCAGTGCCATGAGGAAATGGTATGCTAACATCTTGGGTGGGTGATTTCCTTTCCTTTCTTTATCAGTGTCATAAGGGTCCCTGCCTAGCTCAGCTTGGTGTGCTTTCACACTTAGAAAGGGCAATCCTCCTTCAGGTGGCTTCCTGCACTCCCCTCATCTCTGTGAGACTCATCTTGGCTGATGCGTGAGCTCTTCAGCATTCCATGGACTGAACTCTGTAGGGGAGGCTGGCACTCAGCCCAGGATATGAGGAACACTCCTATGTACAGAGCAACCATGAGGTACAAGTAAGTGATGAACTCATGGGGACCGCTGCACTTCTCAAGCTTTCATGACCCAGGTGCCTGCTTGCTGTGTGTGTCCTGCAGTGAGGGATGGTGGACCATTGCTTTGATCTGCTGGGTCTTTGTTTCTCTGGTTATGAGGGAGATTAAGAATCTTTTTGTTGGCTATTAGAATTTCCTCCTATGAAATACTCATTTGAGCCTTTGCTCATTCTTCTATATTAGGGCATTTTCTTAGCACATTGGGAGGCAGTCTCAGCACACAGATGCAGGTAGTGCACTGGCCATGTGCCAGAGAGCATATCATGCCATGGCACTCCACTGCCTGTGCTGCACTGGACAACAGCTCTTCTGGTTATGCATGTCACACAATCTTCTCACATTCTGCAACTTGTCTTTTCAATCTCTTTATGGTGACTTTTGATTTAATAAAAGAAGCTACTAATTCCAATATAATCCAACTTATCAATCTTTTCCTTTATGGTTGCTGTGGCAGTGCCTTTTGTGACTTCAAAAACCCTTCCAATCTTGAGAGGTGACACTTTTCCACTAAGATTCTCCAAACACTCTATAGTTTCTGAATCTCACACTTAAACCTAATACACCTGCAACTGACTGTGTCCAACGTTTCATGTTATACAGGGATCAGGAGCTGTGCCAGCATGAGGACCAGGACACCACCTCCACACACCATGTCTGTGCATGCACATCTGTGCTGGAGGGTCCTTCTATACCACCAGTTTAGCCATCCAACTTGGCAAGCATCCCTGTTTCAGTGGCCAGGGCTTTGTAACTCTTCATGTCTTGCTGGGCAAATGCTCCTGCTTCAATCTTTTTTGAGCACATTTTAGATCCTTGACCATTTACACTTGAATATAAATTTTGGTAAAGCCACACACACACACAAGGTACACACACACAAACTCAAAATGATGAATGTTCTGCACCACGAATCCATGTGATATGGAAAGAACTGACAACTTTACAATATTTGTTCTAGTCTAGTAAGGAAATGTGCCAGGCTGTTTGTTCTATGACCATAAAAATAAAATATATCCCATTTGGGAATGAGACCTGTAACAAGCCAGACCTGTAAATTATAATCTTTACCTTTTGATTTTATTATCTGGTACTAGATACACTTTTTCCAGGCCTTTGTATAACATAAAATGTACACCAATGTTTAAAATCCAAAAGTGATTTTTAAATCAAGTTGTATAAAACAGTGTATTTGTTACAAAACACCTGAACATATTGACCTCACCTTGAATAAGTGGAATATATCTTGCCAGCAGCTTTGCCCTTTTCTTTTCATATCCTTTTTGAGTGATATCACCTAAAACAACAATGTAAAAAGATTACATTTCTTCTAAAGTTCCAAAATTTTTAAATTAAAAATTAATTTATAATTGAAAACAATATTAATGCCTTTGATTAGGCCTATAATCCCAGCATCCAGGAGGCTGAGGCAGGAGGATCATGAGTATGAGGTCAGCCTGGTCCACATAGCTACTTCCAGGCCAGCATGGACTAGAAAGTGAGAACCTGTCTCAAAAAATACATACAAGCAGAATGTCAGTTTTCCAGACTATATAATAATTAAGCATTCACTTTCTAGAAACAGTCCTGATGTTGCCATTTCAAATGAATATCAAAATAGTAAGGGAGCCCAAAGGGCACAAAGATATGAAACTTGCTGACGCCCTGGGTGATGCTCACAATTTACCAAATGCCATCTCACTTTTTAAAACTGAAACATCTGCACATACTGAGTTACAGATGCTCCTCAACTTACAATGGGGTTACATCCAATAAACTGACAGATTTGAAAATACTGTACCTAAGTCAACATCCACTCGATGCATTGAACTGACCAGGCGTCTAACCCTAGTCTGGCTCCATGAAGGTGCTTGGAACACTGACCCCAGACTGTGGCTGCACCAATATTGCCAGCCTGGGAAAGGATCAAAATTCAAAGTGTGGTTTCTACTGAAGCATGTATCACTTTTGAAACACAGCAAAGCTGAAAAACCCAAGTAGAATCACATGAGTCAGATGCCTGTGTTCCATTTTTATATGTAATTAGTTACCATCTTTCCACACAATGGCTTAGCAGCACTCAAACCCATACATGGAACGCCTCTGATCACACAAAGTAGGTGGGGCTGCATTGGGGTCTGAATAGAGAAGGGGCTCCCACCTGTTCCCTGCCTCGAGGTTCTGCCCTCTCTCACAACAGCACAAACAGACAGCAGAGCCGCATGGCCCCAGAAGATAGGCAGAGCCCGCTGGCAGAGCACAGAGACGCCATGGGATTTTGGAAAGCCTGATCCAGGTGGGGTGACATGCAGTTGCCACTGATCCCCTCTGCCACAGCCCAACCCACAGCTCTGGACAGCCAGGGATACAGCCCCATAAGACCACAAACCTTTAACATTTCTCTGTGATTTTCATATGTATATATAAATTATTACGATTATGTTATTTTGAGACTGGGTCTTGTTGTGTAGTAGACTGGTCTTGATCTCCCTAGGAAACTCAGGCTGGCCTCGAACTTCCAACTCTCCTGCCTTAGCCTCCCAAGTGTGTGTGCCACCATGCCCAGCTTAGATGTGTTCTTTGTGAGTCAACTGCACAATGCTTGAATGCTGACTGCATAGGTGGCAACATAATGCTGTGGGGTGCTACAGTCCATGCTAATTCTGCCTATTTCTGCTGCCGTCAGTCCAGTGGGAGTCCACCACCATCAGACACGTATGTGCTCACATAGCCTGGCAAGTGAAATGCAGCAAGTACTGGTCACAGTTTTTCAATCGACCTATAAATACAGTCATGGGTGAAGAGAGGTGATTACCGATATTAGGCAAACAGGTTTTCTTGTTTGCTTATTTAATTATTAAACTGGGATTTTTTTGTTGCTTCATAAAATAATTTGACAAGTTAAAAGTTTTTGTTTGTTTGTTTGTTTGCTTGTTTTGAGATAGGGTCTCACTATGTAGTTGAGACTGACATGGAACTCACTATACAGTCCAGGCTGGTCTCGAACTCGCAGCGATCCTCCTGTCTCAGCCTCCCAAGTGCTGGGATTACAGGCATGAGCCACCACACCTGACTAGTAAAAGTTTTATGTATATACACAAACACACAATTATGTTATTTTATATTTGACCCAAGACAATTCCTCTTTACTCACTAAGGCCCAGGCAAGCCACAAGCTTGGACACCATGCCTGAGGGTCACAGGAACAAGAGCTGCACACACAAGAGACAGCCTCATGTCCATCAGGAAGGCAAGCCACTCAGCTACCACCCATCTGTACCACAAGACCTGTGGGTATGAATACATCCCCTGGCACTTGAGGTGGGGTCACTTACACAGACTATTTCCTACTATTTCCTACTATTTCCTGAGTAAACTGGCAAGCTGAAAAAAACGTATGCGTGTGTATACAAATATAAAATGAAAGTAAATAAAATTATATGTACAGGCACATATCTGTTTATATACAGAAAATAGGTTGCACAATAAATTATTTGGCTTTTGATGGAATGAGACAGATTTCAATTTTTACTTCATTTACTATTTAACTATTTAAATTTAGCATAATAATCACATTAGGAGCATATGGCAAAGCCAAGGCATGATGGTGCATACCTATAATCTTAATATGTGGGAGGCTGAAGCAAGAGGATCAAGAGCTGGAGGCCAGCCTGGGCTGCAAAGCAAGTTCCAGCCTGGCCTGGACCACAAAGTGAGAGCCAGTCTTAAAAAAGAAAAATGCATGGTAGACTGTTTCCACTATGTGTTATGATTACATAAAATGCTACTGAGGGAAATTAGATGAATTCTAGGTACTATCTCTGCAACTTCCTGAGTCTAAAGTTATTTTAAAGAAAAAAGTTTAAAAATATATGAGAGAGACTAGATAGAATGGGTGTTATTTCTTTTTTAAAATGTTTGATAAAACTTGCCAGCAACACCATATGGGCTTGCAGATTTCTCTTCCAGAAGATCTTAAACTATAAATTTGATTTCCTTAAAAGCTACAGGACAAGTCAGGCATGGAGGTGCATACCTGTAATCCCAGCACTCTGGGAAGCTGAGGTTGAAAGAACACACATTAGAGACCAGGCTGGGCAACTTAGTGACTTAGCAAGACCCCAACTCAAAATCAGAAATAAAATTTTTAAAAAAGAAACTTGGATGTACCAGTGTGAAGGACCTAGGTTCAATCCCTAATATAGTAGAAGAAAAAAGTTACAGGACAGCGAGGCATGGTAGCCACACTTATAAACCCAGAACTCTGGAAGGATGAGGCAGGAAGACTACGAATCAGAGCCTAGCCTGTGCAACTTAGTGAAAACTTATCTCAAAAATAATAGATGGGGCAACTCACTTTCCTGTCCCCCTTCGGTCTCTCTTAGATAGAAGCTTTCTTTCCCTCAATAAATTTTTCCTACTCTTAACCTCCATTGTTTCTAGAATTCATTCCTTGATTTTAGAGAACACGAACTCACGTTTTGGGTTTCTAGTAGGTTTAGGAGTTACATCTCTTTCCCCTATATCATTTTGGAGATCCTCCACTAAGATTACTGGTCAGAGGCTGCCCAAACTCCAAGTGGTCATACAAATGGAACCAACGACAAATGTGCTTGACTTCTTTTACCAGGATCCACCAGATTGACCTTGTAAACAGCTCATATCTGCTAAACTGTACAACTTCTATGTTGGATTCTGAAGTCCCCTGGACCTTCTCCTTATCCTTTTTGTGGGCTACAATCATAGCAGTCTTGCTGATCTTACAATTTGGCCCATGCATTCTTAAATGTTTCTTTGGCTTTGTCTCCTCCAGACTTAAAAGCTATGCAGCTACCAAGATGACAATGCCTGGCACCTATCAAAGGCCTTTAGATAGACCCTCTATAGAGTAACCCTCAGTTGTGAAAACTTATCTCAAATATAATAGATGGGGCAACCCACTTTCCGGTCCCCCCTTCTGTCTCTCTTAGAGTTGATCACAACAATGACCCTCTTCACTGGAAGTAGCCAGAGCAGTCTTTGCCCTTTGCCCCCTCACAGCAGTTAGGAGTACTTCTTGGGGCAGGGGATATTTTACATAGGTAAGTTAATTAGATATCTTGTAGGCAGTTAGCCAGGGCCAGCCCAGAAGGAGCCAACATGGAGGACAATCAAGACCCATTCACTGAAGGCCAGAATTGTAAAAAGAAACTATCATACCCTTGTGCTTCTCCTGGGGATAAAGAACAGATTTCTTTGGCTGTCTCCTCCAGACTTAAAAGCTATGCAGCTACCAAGATGACAATGCCTGGCACCTATCAAAGGCCTTTAGATAGACCCTCTATAGAGTAACCCTCAGTTGTGAAAACTTATCTCAAATATAATAGATGGGGCAACCCACTTTCCGGTCCCCCCTTCTGTCTCTCTTAGAGTTGATCACAACAATGACCCTCTTCACTGGAAGTAGCCAGAGCAGTCTTTGCCCTTTGCCCCCTCACAGCAGTTAGGAGTACTTCTTGGGGCAGGGGATATTTTACATAGGTAAGTTAATTAGATATCTTGTAGGCAGTTAGCCAGGGCCAGCCCAGAAGGAGCCAACATGGAGGACAATCAAGACCCATTCACTGAAGGCCAGAATTGTAAAAAGAAACTATCATACCCTTGTGCTTCTCCTGGGGATAAAGAACAGTGATTGATATTCTAAACAGGTATCAATCACCTGGGTGGGGGGCCGGGGTCTTAACCCAGCCTTTCCAATAAATATCCCTGACTCCCACCCTTACTGAAAATCCTTGTACACTTGCTATGTGGCTTGCTCCCCTATTTGACCCCCACTTAATCACTATTACCTGGGTGACTGTATTTGTGATCTTATTGGTTGGTCATAGTTTTGCCCCACCTCATGCCCACCCTGTAATTTTCCATTGGGTTGTATAATTTTGTCACACTTTGTACCTGCCCCACCACATGGTTTGGCTGTATAAAACATCTTTGAAAAGTAGAGTGGGCAGGCAATCCACCCTTCTGTCTCTCATAGACAGAAGCTTTCTTTCCCTCAATAAATCTTCCTACTCTTCATAATAATAATAATACATGGATAAATAGGTAGATAGTAGGTAGGAAGATAGTGTGATAGTTAAATGATTGTGTCAGCTTGAGTAAGAAATGCCTAACAAAATCGGATCAGCACAATTCTGAGTGTGGCTTAGAGGATTTACTGAAGACAGAAGACCCACCCTAGCAGCTTGTCACCATAATGGTAAACAGGGGAAAGGAAGAAGGATCACTGCTATTCCTTTGGAGGAACTCCAATTTTTG